CACAAATATTTTGTTTTTACTATTAAAACATTCAACAAACATGAACGATACATTTTTTTTTGCTATTAAATTGATATTTAGTAATGTTTAAGTAAATATTAGCAGATTTATTAAATAATCTTTTACTTGTATTGAAAAAGTTTTGTATCATATTTTGTGTGTGCATGCCTTCATGTGTTGCAGCTTTTGAGTTTCCTCAGATAAACTACAGCAAATTCAATGGGAAAGATTACACCTTTGCCTATGGACTCGGACTGAACCACTTTGTTCCAGACCGGGTGGGTGTGACATAGTGCTCAAAACATCATTGTCATGTTCAATATTTGCTCCATGTGTTAATTATTTATTATTAATTTTTTATTATTATTATTATTATTATTATTATTTATTATTATTAATATTATTATTGGTGGACTTTCAGATTTGCAAGCTGAATGTGAAAAGTAAAGAAACCTGGATCTGGCAGGAGCCGGACGCCTATCCTTCTGAACCACTGTTTGTACAAAGCCCTGATGCTGAAGATGAAGATGATGGTATTCCTATTCTGCCACTAAACTAAACATACAAACCAAATCTGTTTATGCTCCTAAAATAAGCCAGTCTTTTTCTTGTGTTTCTTTCAGGTGTTCTGTTGAGTATTGTAGTGAAACCTGGAGTTTCTCAGAGGCCGGCGTTTCTTCTCATCCTCAAGGCCACTGACCTGACAGAAATAGCACGTGCGGAGGTTGACGTCCTCATTCCTGTCACTCTCCACGGCATCTACAAACCTTAGAGGATCACAGTCGAGACGTTATATTTCAGTACTTTAAAATATACTTTTTATTTCGTTCTTGCCTGAAATGGGCCAGTTATATGACCTGATATATGCATATATAGCTAGTTTTATGATTATGTATTCATAAATGTATTATGTATTCAATAAAACTGTTTCTCAACCACATTCTTAGAGGACCACAAATACTGCATGTTTTGGATGTCTCTTTTGTTTGTCACACCCATTACAGGTCTTTCAGTCTCTGCTAATGAGCTGATAATCTGAATCAGGTGTTTGGATAAGGAGACATGGAAAATGTGCAGAGCTGGTGGTTCTTCAGGATCGTAGTTGAGAAACACTGCTCTAAAAGCATCAACATTTTTCCTTCATCAACAATCATTTATTAAGAAGTAATATTCTGTCCTTATTAATTAGTTTAGTTTACATAAACCGGAAAACAAAGCAATAAGCCACTGCTGCTAATTATAGTAATATTCAAATGCACAAAGATGTTTTTAGATTGTAACTAATAAAAGCGCCTTAAACAAGTTTATGAACTCTTCTTTAAATGAAGTGTTAGGGTCTGAGAAGAGTCGTCTTCATTTTTCTATAAATGATTGATAACCAAAGGAAAATCTGTTCACTCAGCAGCCATATTTAAGTCTTTAGGCAGCTCATCCAAGGCTAAGTTCTAAATAAATAAACAGAGGAATCTTAAATAATGCTCACTGAACTCGCAATTAAATTACAAATGTCAAATCACCAACAAAATATGAACCTGTCCAGTTACCAATTTGAATGTTGGAACCTTCCTTCACTGTGAAAGTGAATAAAAACAAAGACCCACATATGGTAAATTTGTTGACGTTAAATACAATAATCATAAAAGTGGTTTTAACACCAGGGATTTTCCAGTTAGTTTTTACTGAGTGCCCTATAAAGGGTTAAGGCATCCAATTCCAATCCTAAAAGTATTTCAGTGAAAACCTCAACATCTGTTTCTCATTATGGCCTACCAGAACTTCTTTTTGTCAAGTAAAAGCAAAGGTTACAAATAAAATGTAACCAGTGATCATGAATGTATTGCAAAAGTGCAAATAAAAGTGTAATTAATGAATTATTTAATGAACCTTTTCTGCTGTTAAAAGTCTTGAAATATTTTGAGGTATCGTCATCATCCTACAGTCTACCAGTAAAAAAAGAAGGCTAAACTCTCTTCCTCCAACTTTCACACAAATATCCATTGAATACCTTCAGTTATGACTATTGGCATTTACTTTGTTTTTGGCCTTGACATATCATTTACATAAACGCATCTGATTGTGAAAGCCCGTTCACACTGACAAAAAAAGATGAGAAATATACTTTTCTCCCTAAATTATTTGCTGAAATCTAATCAAATGTCTGTGGATTAATGGGGAAAACAATATCCGCATAAAATATGAGCATAATAACAACAACAAAAATGTAAATCATATCAGATATAATGTACTCTTCTATTCAATGTTTAGACAATTATCTCAAAACGGTAATTTACAGGTTATAATTTCAGATTCTGTCATTACCATCATACTTCAGTGGTTTGGTGTTTTACAAATACAGAGTTTTAACTAACATTTACTAATAGTGTTTGGACAGCACAATTATATGGTTTTGTGTTCAATAGAAAGACTCCCACAAAGGTTTAAAACCACATGAGAGTGAAATTATGAGGGGGTTTTCACTTCTGGGTGATTTATCCCTTTGACTAGGCCTATATTTTCCCAATACACCATTTTCAATACATAATTTTATTTATCCAGTAAACCAATATACATATTGAAACATTAGATGCTTTTAAAATAGTATTATTTAGATATTGTCTTCACACCACACACCCTCCATTTGACCTACTTGTTGTTGAGGCTACAGCTCCGACATGTGGCGATAAGCAGCATTTAAAGAGCAAAATATTTAGCTAACATGGAATGCAAAAAAAACTTTCTTTTACTTTGTACACTCAGAAGTTTAATTCTGTGTGTTTAGTTGAGGATCCCTAAAATGTCACCAAACAGACGCAACGTGCACATAAACAAACCTAAACCACAGTTATCCCTGTTGGGGGGAAAACAGCATGCTGGTTTTGACTCATGGGTTGAAACGTTTAAGTATGCAAACTCCTGGCCAAACACTGCAGTGGGTGTTTACCTCTGCTCAGAGTCTTTAATCACATATCAGAGAACAGTACACTAATATTAACGTACACTAATAACATTTCACAGGTTAAATCTTTAAATGCAAATAGATTTGGCATTTCGCAAGGTTACAAAAAAAATCTTTATAAACAACAAATATTCCAGTATTTCTGTTTAAAAGCAAATGCAATTTTAATAATCCAGTGCTTTTCAAACAAAAATTACACACACACACACACACACACATACATATATATATAATATTGTTTGTATACTTTGTTACAGACAAATTGGTAATTAATGACTAAATCATAGCAAGAAAAAAAATCATAGAAAAACAGTTCTTACATTTTAACTCTTGAAACCAAGATGACATTTCACCTTTGGATACACACACATACACTCACACACACACACACACACACACAAGACCAAACAACTCTCTTAATCTCTCACATGTGTGTCTTTCTATTCTGTTACTGTGAGAGTGTATGGGTGTTTCCCAGCACTGAAGGTGTACGAGTTTGTGTACTCAATGCTATGTTGCGATTGGAAGGGTATCTGCCATATAAAACATAAGCCAGAGTAATTGGTGGCTTATACCTTTGTGGTGACAACCAATCATTTAGGGACTAAGCCGAAGGAGAATTAGAAAAATGAATATCTACAGTTTTATAACAATAAAATTGCCAAAAGAAAAGTAAAAAAATGTATAAATATAAATTTAAAAATTCAGACATTAAGAAGTCATGATTTTTGGAAACTTTTTACTGAAAATATTGCATTGTTATGGCATGTAGCATATGATCTATGAAAACAAGCGACACATTATATAATTAATAAAAATTTTTATCATTCATTCATTTTCCTTAGGCTTGGTCCCTTTATTCATCAGGGTTCACCACAGTGGCGTGAACCACCAACTTATCCAGTATATGTTTTACACAGCGGATGCCCTTTCAGCTGCAACCCAGTACTGGCAAACATCCATACACACTCATTCACACACACACACACACACTCTGGCTAATTTAGCTTAATCAATTTACCTATATAGCACATGTCTTTGGACTGTGGGGGAAACCAACATGGACATGGGAGGAACATGCAAACTGCAAACTCCACACAGAAATGCCAACTGACCCAGCTTGGACTCAAACCAACCTTCTTGCTGTGAGGCAACAGTGCTAATCACTGAGCCACTGTGTTGCCAAAAATATAACCATATGTTTTTAAAAAGCAGGGAAAAAATGTGGCTTTGGACACCAAATGTACCTGCAAATAAGAACTATGACCCCACAGCAACAAAGTAGCTTTACTATATGTATACATTTTGCTATAAAATAATGGATTTGTGTGTGTGTGTGTGTGTGTGCTTTTCTACATCAATTTGATGTTATTACTATCGTATCATCTCAAATTCATTATTTATCTCTATTATTACTATATTACAATATTACTGCTCCTGATCTATTATAAACTTTTAAGATAAGCATTTTATTATTATTATTATTATTATTATTATAGAAAAGCCATCAGTGTTTAAAAGGGGTGTGGGTTTTGATTGTTTCCAAGTGGATCTTCATCAGTATTCACACCCAGTCTCCATATATGAAGAATACGGGGCCCTGACCCTGAAAAACAAATCATTTGTCATGCAGGGAAGTAAACAAAGAAAATGTGATTAATGAAATGCCTCTGACATGTCACACTTGTCTTTTGTAGTTGTAAACTTTTTGCATTGAGCATTGCTCTTTTTATTTGTATTGTTTTTCTAACTGAAGGAATGCTGTGATTGATTGATTGAATCCCAGTGTGATTTGTCTTATTTTAAAAGATTATTAAAAATCATAAAAATTTATATATTAATAAAACAAGTTTTCTGCATATTGATCCCATTGACTACAGGTTAAAATGTGTTTTTGATTGAATATGTACTGTCTTTCAGGAAGGTAAACATTAGTGAAGTAGTTCTTGGTTTGAGCACAAAGAGATTCTTGTTTCAGAGGCTTTTCATTCACTGGAGTAGGAGGAGCTTAAGACTCTGTGTCCATGCGAAGCACTTCACGTTTACACACACTCAAGCATCGTCTTACTTCAACATGGTCAGTCGGTGAGTAATGGAACTATTTTCACTCATACAGCTTAAAGTCTGCTTTTATTTGCTTGGTGAAGGGTGAAGATGGTTTAAAAAGTGATGTTTTCTTCTTTAAGTTTGTTTATTCCCTTTTGAAGAAAGATGACATGATTAAGAACAATGCTAAATGTTTCCAAGGAATGTATTTAACATTATAAGTGAAGTTGTTTTGTTTTTTCAGCTTATTTCTGCTCATATTCAAAAAAAAAAAAAAAAAAAGGTGGCATCTGTTTTTATTCACAGTCTTGAACACCCAGCCGGTGGATATAAGAAAGTCTTTGAGTCGTGTGAAGAGTTAGCGGAGCCCATTCCTGCTCATGTCTCAGGTTTGCATGCTTATAATCTAATCAAGCATTTCTGTTTAATACTTTTCCACATTTATTTTCTTCATGCTTTCTTGGGAAATGGGGGTTTCTGTTGCGGTCAATGTAAATGCCTTGCAGCCAGAGATGGGCAGTGTGATAAGTGTATTTCAAAAATAAAAAGCATTTTTTAATTTGTATACAGTAGGGATAATGAAAATGGCTTCACATTTTGTATTAAAATACTTAAGTGTTTGTTTTGTTTTGTTGTTTTTTAGTTTAAAAATATTGTTTAAGAGTTTCTAAGACATCTATATTATGTTATTCCAAATATTTGACCCCTAATTAGTGGCTTTACTTAGTAGTTCGCCCAGACTTGTCGAGATTTGAACAGAAAACTTCACTTTAAAACCCAAAAATTTAGGCTTACCCCCACATTTGAGGAAACTGATAGCAAAAAAAGCAATTTGAGCACAGTAAACCCCAATAAATGAAGAGAACTCAAACCAACTGAGTACTGTAAAACTCAATAAGTTGAGGCAATTCAAACTGTTTGAGAATACCGATTTCAACAAACCATTTAATTTAAAATAACTAAGTACTGTGAACTTACTTCATTTAAGTTGAGGTAATGGGCTAATTAATTACTCATTACCTTTAACACCGAGTTCAAAACTCTTTTCAAATGAGAATTAACTTTCAGTAAATTTTGAGTTAAGTACACTCATTTCATTTGAGAAAGTTAACTGTTGGGTTTTACAGTGTGATCCATATGGAAGAAATTGGTCAAGGCTTGAAGTATGAATGGATAAAGAAAGAGTCAGGTATTAGATTGGAGAAAAACTCAACAAGCATTGAAAATAGTATGATTAGGCCAATAACAGAATATGACAGTGTATTGTATTATTCAGCATCAGCATGTTTGCTAAAGTAATTAGCTGGAGAACAAGTTCTGTCCTTAAGAATGGAACATATGAAATATGCTGCAGAAATGGCAAATTATAGATGTTGTTCTGATGTTCACAGAGTGAATCCATTGAGCCTCATCTAGTTAAAAAAGTTGGGATTTTATTTTGGGAGCATGTGTACACTGTAACAATGACTGTACATATTATATATATGTTAGATATACAAATAATAGTAGCTTTAAATGGAAATGTGATGCAGATGCCAAAAGAATAGAACTAGACAACATTAAAAACATGTCCTGGACCTACAGTATAATGATACTTACAGTACCTTCTTGGCTCTTCTGAATGCTAGCAGTTGATCTCCAGCTGCAGTTTATAAGTAATGAAAAGCTCCTAAATGGCCAGGGGTAATCCAAATGGGTGGAAATTTGAATTCCAAAGGGGCTGTATAAAAGTCCTGGGCATTTTTCTTTGGGATTTATTTATTTAATGTCTTGTACATGACACAGAGTGCAACTTATTGTGATATTTAAATGTCTACACATACCCCACAGTAAGCTAATGTGTCTTTTAAAGTCTTCACCCAAAAAAAAAAAAAAAAAAAAAAAAAATATATATATATATATATATATATATATATATATATATATATATATATATATATATATATATATATATATATATATTATTTTTTAAAATATATATTAATTATAATTATAATTAAATATATATTATAATTAAATATATATATTTAATTATAATTAAATATATACATCCGTTTGACAGCACACTTTCTCACATATTTTTTATTTTATTTTTTATTTTTTTAATGTGTATGCATTGTGAGGATTTGCAGCACGTATACTGTCAAACGGATAAAGATCTCTTCTTAATTTGCTGGTGTTTTCTTAAATTGCATGTGTTTTCTTAAATTGCAGCATGTTAAGCTATCTTGGCCACCATAATACTATTATTCAAAAAAGTTACTGAAATACTAGACAACATTGAAAATTTGTCCTACACTATAGTGAGAGCCCTACCTAAAATACGTCTTTGGCTGTTGTAAATGCTAGCAGTGGATCTCCAGCTGCACTTTATAGGTAATGAAAAGCTCATAAATGGCCAGGGGTAATCCAAATGGGTGGTAATTTGAGTTCCAAAGGGGCTGTATAGATGTCCTGGGTGTTTTTCTTTGGGATTATTTTAAATTAAAGTAACTTTTAAGTAGGTTCAAAGTAGAAAACTAATTTTTTTAAACTTAAATCAAAATATAATCTTGTTTTGGACAAACTTAAAAACATTACGGTAGTTTGTTACAGTTAAATTTTGGAATTACCTTGAAATTATATTTTTGACTTGGTTGTAAATGAAAAATTTATTTTAATATTTATCAATTATTTATTTTTCCCAAATAACTTTTTAATTGACTCAAAGGTAAAATATGGAAAATAGTCCCTCCTACCTGATATATACTTGAAGGTGTACCCCTAGAGATGTCATACTGGCACAATATAACAAACCTCAGGTTATAGGGCAGCAGCAGTATACTGTAAATCAAAGTAAATACAAACACACTCCTTTTCTCATTATATACTGTAGGTAAAATCCCAGCATGGCTGTCTGGAAGTCTGCTCCGCATGGGCCCTGGGCTTTTCGAGATTGGAGATGAACCATTTAACCATCTTTTTGATGGCCAGGCTCTCATTCACAAGTTTGACCTGAAGGACGGACGTGTAACCTATCATCGCAAGTAAAAATCTAGACCTTCTCACATTTTAAAAAGTTAATCAAGCGATTTTTGTCAAACAATGTTGTTTATTGAAAGCACCAAAACAAATATGCTATAAACCAACAGGACTGTAAAAAAAGGGGCGTGTCTGGTAGCAGAGATACCAAAATAGGGTATTTCTACTACTACTAGACACACCCCTTATTGCTGATTGGCTGTGAGTGTGTTATTGATATCTGGGTTTAAAAATCTTTTAATGCACATTTAACACCAGATCACTGCTCATAATTAGTGTTCAGGAATTGATATGAACACTTCAAAGAATGAAAAACAACATTTTGAAGGCATTTGATTTATTTTAAAAGCAAATATTGCAGTTATTTGAAAATATATTTTAATAATGCATAAATTCCAAGAGAAAAATACCTCATTAAAATTTTATAAATATTACAGAAATAAAATTCTTTCAAAATTTAAAATAATAAAAAGAAAATTATATCTGGTGACTTTTAATGGCAAAGTATCTGACCTCTAAACAAAGAGCGCAGGAGGGTTAAAAATCCAAAGAACTTTGAATGAACATTCAGTTACTGAAAGGATGTTTATTCGTAGCATTGAAAGAATCTAATCATAAAGAATCGAAGAATGCCAAAACATTCCATATTAGCTGGTTATACAATAAAGGACTGCCTTTAAAATGCATAATAGCCATCTTCCTCTTCAGGTTTATCAGAACTGATGCTTATGTGAGAGCCATGACAGAGAAAAGGGTTGTGATTACAGAACTCGGCACCGCTGCATATCCAGATCCATGCAAAAACATCTTTTCCAGGTCTGGAGAGTATTTTAAGATCAGTTTAATATATATGAATCGAATGATAGAGTTAAATCTAATTTTTCTAGTGCATCCTGTTTTACACATCAGGTTTTTCACTTACTTCCAAGGCACTGAGGTTACAGACAACTGTTCTGTAAACATTTACCCCATCGGTGAAGACTTCTATGCCTGCACTGAAACCAACTTCATTACCAAAGTCAATCCTGATACCCTGGAAACAATAAAAAAGGTAAGCTTTTGCTGATATTTGAGGGCATGAATCAAACTGAAATCATTTATTGTTTCTGTTTCTTCTGTAGGTGGACCTCTGCAATTATCTGTCGGTTAATGGTTTAACAGCACATCCACACATTGAAGCAGACGGTACTGTATATAACATTGGAAACTGCTTTGGGAAGAACATGTCCCTGGCCTACAACATTGTCAAGATCCCGCCACTACAAGAAGGTTAGCATGTTGATTTAACAGCATAAAAGGCCTGTATAAATAATATATTATAACGAAAGTTTGTTTTATCATTTGTTTAATTAGAAAAATCTGATCCACTTGCGATGTCAAAGGTTTTGGTCCAGTTTCCAAGCAGTGAAAGGTTCAAACCATCCTACGTTCACAGGTTATTATAATATAATATAATATAATATAATATAATATAATATAATATAATATAATATAATATAATATAATATAATGGTATGTGTAATTAAAGGGGGACGTAGGTCACTATTTCCTCAAGTGCTTCCAAACCTTTATGAGTTTTTTTTTTTTAATGTTGAACACAGAAGTAAATACCTTGTAAATATTGGAAACCGGTAGCCACTGACACCCATACAAGAAAGAAAAAAACAGTACGGAAGTCCACAGCAGTGGTGAAATGAGTACTCAAGTTAAAGTACTATTACTTGCCTAAAAATGTAGTGCAAGTAGATTAAAAGTATGTGTTGTAAATATTACTCAAAGTATGAGTAAAAAGTAGCCCTTTCAAAAGTTCTCAAGAGTAGTGAGTAGTGAGTATTACGCTTTAAAAAGCTGATGCGTTTACATGTAATTTTTGGATGTGTGTAAACGTAACATTCTGTAGTGCATTTGTTTATTGCTCAGCAGGCACTCAACATCATCAGACATTAATATAAGGTTTGATTCAGGTTGTGATGTCAGGTGACCAAAATTCAATGTCTAGCCAGCATCAAAGGACAACATGAATTTAATGTCCAATTACGACGTCAAATTTTGTTGATATTTGGCTGATTTTAGGTTATGACCAAAATCCAATGTTTAGCCAACATCTTAAACCAACATCATATTGACGTCAAATATTGACATTTATTTATCAGGTATGGCAACCAAAATCTAACATCTGATAAACTTTTATACTTGCAAACAATTTGCTGCAATTATAAATCACCCATGTCTTCAGGTAGTTCATTATGATGAGCTTCATCTTCTATGTGTGATTTGATTGGAAATAAATCAAAGAACTAATTTTCATTATCCCCATTGACAGGAAAAAATAGTGAATGCAGGTTGAAGGAAAGTAGTGGAGTAAAAACTAAACTAAAAATGTTCTTAAGGGAAAGTAAAAGTAGACATTTTTAAAAGTACTTAGTAAATTACAATTCCTGAGAAAAACTCGTCAACTACAAGAGTTTTAGTAATTGTAATTTGTTACTTTACACCACTGGTCCACAGCTATCGGTTTCTAACATTCGTCAAAGTATCCTGTTATGTGTTCAACAGAAGATAGAAACTCAAACAGGTTTGGAACAAGGAAATTGAGTAAATGATGATCGAAACAAATGTTAATAATCAACAACATTATATTTTTATGCAGCTTTGGCATGACAGAGAACCATTTTGTGTTTGTTGAAACTCCGGTGAAGATCAATCTGCTGAAATTTCTCACTTCCTGGAGCATCAGAGGGTCAAATTATATGGACTGCTTTGAATCTAATGACAGAATGGGAGTAAGTCAGAACTTATTCATATTTCAGTGGTTAATTGGAACATTTGAGATCCAAAATAACCCAAAAATGCAGTAGGTGTTTTGTGCATTGCCTCATCATCTTGATTTGGTTGCTTTCCCAGACATGGTTTCATCTGGCAGCCAAAAATCCCGGCAAATACATCGACCACAAATTCAGAACATCTGCCTTCAATATTTTTCACCACATTAACTGTTTTGAAGACCAAGGCTTTATTGTTGTTGACCTGTGCACATGGAAAGGGTAAGACTGCTTGATTTTTATGCTTACTGAAGTTTTAGCAAACTTCTCAAAATAAACAAATAATTAAATGTATTACACTTGCACATCTGATAATAGCAACCAGCAGCTTAGATTGTGATTGCATGTGGTTTTTCTCCTTTTACTGACAGCCATGAATTTGTGTACAATTATCTATATTTGGCAAATCTGAGGCAAAACTGGGAGGAAGTCAAAAAAGCAGCCCTGAGAGCTCCACAGCCGGAGGTGCGCAGATACGTGCTTCCACTGGACATCCACAGGGTAACAAATACATTTTTGTTTTTGGGTTTTCTCTTATTTCAAGTTTACAATTGCAAATTTGTTGTCAATTTTTGAATGCAACTACAGTATCTATTGCTTTTTATCTCAGTTATTTGTTTAGGGTTTTAGTTTTGTTAGTACATCAAATTAAACTTAATGAAAATGAGAAAGCTGAATTAATATAGGTTTTGCATTTCTGTATTTAAGAGACGACATATTTCGCCACAAATGTTTTTAACTAACCAGCAACACATTGCATTTAGGCATGTAGATGCGGTTTCATAAACATTCCATCAATGGGTGTAGCGGCTACATAAAGCAATGGCTGAGAGGCTAAACCAGAGACATGTTTTGTGACAAACATCAAACAATAAAATAAAAACAAAGCAAGAAGTTTTTCCAATGTCTTCTGATTTTTGATATTTTGACAGTGCAGATTTGATTTGATTTTGTTCAACAAAGAATACCTCTCTCCATCGGTGAATGAACAGGTGACCAATATAAACCCTCTATATGTGACCCTCCACCTTGATCACGTGACACTGTTAACCATTTCATGTCTACTACAATGGGGTTTACTGAGAATAGACTGAAATAGAGAAAATATCCAGCGAGTGGTAGTTTTATGGATGAAAATGCCTTTTTAAGGCCTTTTGTCATGAAAACTAACCACCAGGTCTGCTTTAATAAGAAATAATTTCCTTATGGGTGATTTTAGTGGTTTCCAATACTAGGAACAGGAACACTTTATTTTGATGGTCCATTTGAGTATTAGTAGACTATTTTGATGGTCCATTTGAGTATTAGTAGACTGTTTGCTTAATATCTGTTGATACTGCTCCTTCAACAGACATTTAACTGACTATAGGAAACTTTGCAAGTACATGTCAACTTACGCTAGCCCTAACCCCAACCTAACAGTCTACTGGCAGTATAATCTAGTGAGAATTAATTGCAATGTAACTTAAATTCAACAAACGAACCATGAAAACAAAGTTTGACCCTAGGAACTATTAAGTGCTATAAGCAAACGGTGATATTAAATGCAGTGCTAAACAAAATCAACAGCTGGAGAATGGCGGACACCATACAGAAGCTGTGTTTTTGTTGTGTGTTTTGGACCATAGATGTATTTATGCGATTGGAACAGCAAAAAGGAGGAGTGAATCTCCAATCTTTGTATTGTGGCTTAAAAAATATGGAGATGAATGTGACAGAATAATTATTGCTAATTTGAGCTTTTTCTATGTTTATGTCTAGAAATGCTTTAAGAAACTATGAAAAAAGTGTTTTGTGTGGCATGCATTTACCAAATCAGCATATACATGTGTCACTTCAGTTCTTATTGTGTTGAGTAAGACCATGCTGTCAAGTAGTAGCTCCATTAGTATCCACAAATAAGGTTTCTAGAACTAAAATGATTCCCAGTTCCTGCTGTGCTAACATGCCCAACTCTAGTTCTAGTAACTCTGAAAAAGTTCCTCCGTTGTGAATGCCCCACATAAATGTCAAGATTCAGGGGAAAATGGCCAGGGTCAAGCTGATAGAAAGACAACAGTAACAGAAAAGAATCTATAAATGCACAACACATCGAACTTTGAAACAGATGAGCTACAGCAGCAGCAAAAGAACACACTGGTGACACTTCTGTCAGATAACAACAGCAAAGGCTACAATTCACACACTCAAGATTTGTTTGTTTTTTTAGTTGAACAAGTAAGCTGGATCAACACAATTCTTGATTTTTTTTTTTGGGGACAACTTAATTGTTTTATGTTCAATCCACTTAATTTGCAAAAATAATTCATTTAATTTAATCGATTTGTGTTGGGACAGCATGAAGAATTTTTTTGCAGTGCACAGGCTCACCAAAACTGGACAATAAAAGAATGGAAAAGGGCCTATTAATTAGTTTGTTCCTTTGTTTTTGCAGGAAGAGCAAGGGAAGAACTTGGTTTCTCTTCCATACACCACAGCCACTGCTGTCATGTGCAGTGATGGAACTGTTTGGCTCGAACCCGAGGTTCTTTTCTCTGGACCACGTCAGGGTGAATATTCAGCACCAAATGTGACTTGTAAAACACCATAAATGGCACCATTTCCAATTAATACAGAACACTTTGATATCCATGTATCTTTTTATTCTTTTGTTAGATCTGAGCATACCATGATAAAATGTCATAATTTTCCTCATAAAAGATTTGCTCATGTAATCACAGATATTCAATTCTTAAATGTAATTTTTACATAACTATTGATATAAAATATTTTCACTGTTGTGTTTGTGTGTTTGTGTGTGTGTGTGTTTGTGTTTGTGTGTGTGTTTGTGTGTGTGTGTGTGTGTGTGTGCGCGCGCTGCAGCTTTTGAGTTTCCTCAGATAAACTACAGCAAATTCAACGGGAAAGATTACACCTTTGCCTATGGACTCGGACTGAACCACTTTGTTCCAGACCGGGTGGGTGTGACATAGTGCTTAAAACATTGTCATGGTCAACATTTGCTTCATGTTTGATTTTTGTGGGCTTTCAGATTTGCAAGCTGAATGTGAAAAGTAAAGAAACCTGGATCTGGCAGGAGCCGGACGCCTATCCTTCTGAACCACTGTTTGTACAAAGCCCTGATGCTGAAGATGAAGACGATGGTATTCCTATTCTGCCACTAAACTAAACATACAAACCAAATCTGTTTATGCTCCTAAAATAAGCCAGTCTTTTTCTTGTGTTTCTCTCAGGTGTTCTGTTGAGTATTGTAGTGAAACCTGGAGTTTCTCAGAGGCCGGCGTTTCTCCTCATTCTCAAGGCCACTGACCTGACAGAAATAGCACGTGCGGAGGTTGACGTCCTCATTCCTCTTACTCTCCACGGCATCTACAAACCTTAGAGGATACCAGGACTTTGGATTTCAGTACTTTGTCCATGTAACTGCAAGTTATATGACCCGATATGTTTATAATCTAATAAACATACAATATAATAATACAAATGAACATATACCCAGTATATACGTTATATACATATACAATGACTTACTGCAAGATCCAAAACATTTTTTATAAACTTTTTAATTCATTTATGAACAATTGTTTATTAACAAGTACACTATATGTACAATTTAGTTTACATCAGCCATATGTATCAATCATAAGGCACTGTTGGCAATTACAAGCAGATTTTTTATTAAAATAAAGATATGTGCTATTAGTTATTAGTTTATTATTTGAATAAAACACCTTAAACAAGCTCATCCATTAAGGCTTCTGCAAATGTAGTGTTAGAGTCTGAGAAGAGGAGACCTCACTTTCTCTCTGGATAGTTGATACTCTTGTTGCTTAATGATTTCCAGACACTTGCTTAAAATCTGAAATGAAAACAAAAGCATTTTTATTAAGCATTTATTTATAAACTCGAGTGTGATGCATATTTTAATTATTTTTCAAAGAATATATTTTATATAAAATGATTATAGCAAAAATGTAAATGAATGTTTTAAGATAAAGAAAAAAAATGCTTAGAATTGTATTTGTGTAATGCAAGATTTCTGCAAGTGTCACTAAGTTAAATTTAAGACATTATTAAGACCATTATGAATGACATTTTAGACTTATACAGGGCTAAATGCTAAGGTTTTTTTATATCCCAGATTAAAAAGATTTTCACTTGCCCATTCAAAATGATTATAACTTAAAACATTTAATAATACTACATTAAATAATAGTTTAATTTATAAAAATATAGGTCAGGTCAGTATCCTCAGCAGTAAATAAATTTAGAACTTTTAAGCAAATGTTTCTGTAAGGAAAGTAACTAAATGCTATTTGTATGATTCGTGAGATGGATTGTTGGTGATTGTATGGATGTTAATGGCCAGATTGGGTAGCTATACATGAACAAAGAAGGTCTTAAATCTCAAAACTCAAATTTTTGGCCTTAAAAAGTCTTAAATTTACTAAAATAATACTTGTACTGTAGGCCAAAACCCATACAATCACCAACAATCCATCTCAATAACGCTTTAAACTTTTTAAACTTTAAAATGGTTTAATTTATTTCCTTAGAATAACATTTGTTTAAAAGTTCTCCATGTACTTACTGCTAAGGACACCGACCTGGACAGATTGTTGTGCACAGATTTAGTATATTATAGTTTTTAAAACTTAACATTTGTTCGGTTTTTGTATTTTAAAGAAAGTTTATGTTGGAAAAAACGTGTATGGATACAAGTAGAACTTGCTTGTTTTTACACAATATTTAAAATATTTAGCTAAGAAATTATATCTAAAATATTTAATTGTTTATTATTACTGTATTATTGTATTATTAAATGTATCAAATTCTAAGATTTTTGATGGGTCAAATAAAAATCTTTTCCACCTGGGCCATTTGAAAAATTCTCTAGCGTTTAGCCGTTTATGAGTCTAAAATTTCATTCATAATGGTCCTAAAAATGTCTTAAAGTCCTAAATTTAACTCAGTGAAACCTGCAAAAACCCTGATTAAGACCTGTTAAAAAAAAGATTTGAATCTTAAAACACAACATTTCAGTAGATTTAAGACTTTTTAAAACCCTGCGGATACCCTGTAATTGCATCATGTACCATTGTTATCTCATAACCCAAAATTGTCATCATTTACTTGTCTCAGCACTCATTAAGACCTCATTTCAATCATTTAAAGTACATCAACTTTGTTTTTTATTAAAACATGTAAATGATATGTAAATAAAAAGGCCTAAAGCTCAAAATAAATGTCATTTCAGATTACTTTGATAAGTGGCTTTTAAATTTGCTAAGAAACTAGCCTAGAAGCTAACCTTTTAACTAAGAGAACTAGTTTGGCTTTTAAGGCATCCAAGCATTTAAAGTTGACTCCACTGAAAACCTCAACAGCTGTTTGTCATTATGATCTCCAGTTAACATCTGAATTCATTTCTGTGCTTTTATTTGTGATGTAGATGATGTTTTGCCTCTTTTTTTTAAGAGTTAAATGAAAATTAAACCAAAAATAATTAAGTTAAGTGAAATAAATAAGATTCTTTTACCTTTCTAGTGTCTTGAGGTAGAATAACGCCATCATCCCACAGTCTGCCAGTGGAAAAGAAGGCTGAACTTTCTTCCTCCAACCTTTACATACACACAAATAACCATTTAGTTATGAATCTTACACTTGCAGACCAATATACATATTTACATACACACTAATATATATTTACATTGGCTCTTACATCTCATTGATCTGTGTGATTTCCTCTTCAGTTTGCACAAATTCCTCAGAGTAGCCCGGGGCCAAAATCGACACTCTTGCATTGGGCCACAAGAACAGGAAATTGGGGTCAAAAGCCCTTCCGCACTGAAAAGGAAAACAAACAATCAACAAAAGGTTTGAAAAGTATTTAGCCTGTTTTCCTCATATTTGCGTGGGTTTCCTCTGGGTGCTCTGGTTTCCCCCACAGTCCAAAGACATGCGGTATAGGTCAATTGAATAAACTAAATAGTCCGTTGTGAATAGGTGTGTATGGATGTCTCCCAGTACTGGGTTGCAGCTGGAAGGACATCTGCTGTGTAAAACATATGCTGGGTAAATTGACGGTTCATCCCACTGTGGCAACCCTAGATGAATAAAGGGACTAAACCGAAGGAAAATGAATGAAAAGTGTTTTGTTTTGTTAGACTATTTAAAGTTTTTACATTCACATCAGTATTTATGGACTGACCATAGCATAGCTGTCACCTCCATGGCATCCTCCAATAACCACAGTCATTTTGGGAACAGAAGCGCAAGCCACAGCAGACATCATAGACCCCTGAGCCTTCAGTCTGTTAGTGTTGGACTCAGCCTGTGAGAGAGAGAGTAGAGAAACAGAGGTTTAGAGGAATGAAGAGGAGGATATTGTTCTATCTACAGACTTTTGTATTAAAATGTCAACTTTTCTGTGCATTACGCATGTTTAAAAGGAACTGGAAGTGATGAAAGTCTGCACATAACTGTTCTTCTGGTTTACCTTGGTTTGGGAGGTTGTGTGTGCAGGTTCTGGGGCCGTGTTTTGCAGGAAGATGAGAGGAATGTCTCTCTGGTCGCACAGCTGAACAAAATGGCTGCCTTTCAGGGAAGCTTCGTATGTCAGCTCTCCGTTATTTGCCACAATTCCAATTTGATGTCTGAGGAATGATGAGGAGAAATAAAATCATATTTAAATGAAAATCAGGGTGAAGGAAGGGTTTGCCACTGCTAATATCTTCTATCAAATGATCAGACAAGCATGTCAAAAGTATGATTATTAGCCAGCTATGGTTGCAGATTCAGTTGTAGTTCAATGATTTGGTGTTTTCTGAATTCAAAGCTTCAGTAAACATGCGCAAACAGTATCACAATCCTGTGTGGTGAGCAACATAGTTTCTTTTAATATGATATAGGCAAAATAATAAGCTAACAAGCTTTATCTTCTACTTCATACATATACAAATCACATTTTAGTTTATCAGAATTAAAAACATTTTCTTGATGTTTTGACATATAAAAGGTCATCCTAAAATAAAAACATCCAGCAAGTTTCAGAACTTAAAGCTTTATGGTTAGCCTATTAACAAATTATATTGAAGTGAATCTGCCTAAATGATTTGCTTCTACCTCAATGCCTGTTAATATGATCTGAAGAATGATAGAAATTGGTAGACTAAACTTAGTAGTCATACACAGTAGGAAAAAAAATCCTATGGAAGTCAATTGACTAAGGGTTTTCAACATTCTTTTGTGTCCAACAATAGAAAGAAACTTAAACAGATTCAGAATAAGTGGAGGCAAGTAAAAGATGACAAAGTTTACATTTTTTGTTGAACTATGCCTGTAATGTTGTTATAAAAGTGATATTATTATGGGGGCGTCACGATGGCCTCACAGCAAGAAGGTCGCTGGTTCGAGCCTCAGCTGTCTGTGTGGAGTTTGCATGTTCTCCCTGTGCTCGCGTAGGTTTCCTCTGGGTGCTTCGGTTTCCCCCTCAAGCCTAAAGACATGCGCTCTGTTTTTTGAGAAGTGCTTTTCATATGATATGTGAACGACCTATGCAGCTTTACTGTAGACATTTTCTCAAGCAAAAATGACGTGGACTGAAACTTTGTCATACACCACGCCCACCAAAAGGGTACCCTTGGTAGTGGAAACACAAGCCTGATAAAGGTGACCCGTACCGACCCGAACCGTACCGTACTGTACCAGTCAGTGGAAACGAGCCATAAGTGAACTGGGTAAGCTAAATTGTCCATAGTGTGAATGAGTGTGTATGGGTGCTTCCCAGTGATGGGTTGCAGCTGGAAGGGCATCTGATGTGTAAAACATATGCTGGATAAGTTGGCGGTTCATTCCGCTGTGGTGACCCCTGATTAATAAAGGGACTAAGCTGAAAAGAAAATTAATGAATGAATGAAAAAATATATAAACGCCATAAAAAGAAGTGATTAATACCCATCAATTCTGGCGAACCCAGTGAGGAGGGTGGTCCCATAACGGGCCTTGAACTCCTGAAATCGACTTCCATCAGTCAGTCGACTCACAATCTATGCAAGGAATTTAGAAAGAAATAAGTATCTAAACACCACAAACTATATAAAATCATCTGAAACTGAGCTTATGAGTGGGTCTTTACCAGTCTGATGTCCAAGCTGTAATTGTAACTCCGCGGTGCAAGACCCATGAGCTCCTCTGTGCTATACAGAGGCTCCTCGACCTGAACGCTGTCCTCTTCTGGGAGCTCATAGTTGAGGGTGGAGATGATGTTTCTGGTGTATTCATACGCCTCTGACTCTACTGCCGCAAAATGGTCTACACAGCCACTCACTCTGGAATTAAAAGCAAACTATAGTATTATATTACATAATATAATATAGTATGATATGATTTAATATAATAATATAAAATATATTATTGTTTTAAATAATATTATTTTAATAGATTGTTATTTTAATTATCAATTATAATAATTTTTAAACTGAAATGTACATACAATTTTATAATAATACTATTTATTATTTTAAATGAAAATGCATTTGTTTAGCTTAATTTTATGGCTAAAATTATGTTATTAATATTACATTTTGCGCAAAACTATATAGCTTATGTTTTATCATAGTATATTTAGCATATTTAACTGGTAATTATGACTATTTCACTTATTTATTTATCATTAGAGTTATGCAATTACTTTAACAAAAATAAATAATATAAAATAATATATAAGTCATCGAACATTTTTAAAAGTAGAAAGATACATTGGCCAAATATTGGCCAAAAAATACAAACAACAAAATTTCTACAAAATTTTATATATTATTTTGTTTCTCTTGATTTTTCCTCTTTTTTTAATTTATGTTTTTTATATTTTTTCCCAATATATAAATTTAGGCTACTGTTATCATTATAAACTATTTTGCTCTTGCTTTAAATATACTAGAAAACTGACAATCAACAAAGCAAAGCAAGAAAGAATTCAGCCAGTGTTAACTGCCACATATTGATCAATATTCCTTGATTAAAAACATGGTTATGGGATTATAGTTACAAAGACACAGTCAGGAAATGCAAACAAATACTCTGAATGCAGTCTGGCTCCTCCTAGGTCCTCTGGAGAAACCTCCTCCCCGGTGGCAGCCTTGACCAGCGGTGGACCTCCCAAAAATATAGTTCCTATCCTGTGTACGATCACCGCCTCCTCAGACATAGTGGGTACATAAGCGCCACCAGCTGTACACGACCCACACACCACTGCCACCTACAGGAAACAACATCACACGGCTACAGATTAAACCACTGATTTGCAAAGTGGGGGTCGCTGAAAAGTGGGAGTCGTTTGGTGATTTCCAAAAATCTTTTTTCAATCATTAAAATTACCACATATTATTCATAAGCTACTGAAGATAAAAAATAGTTTATAGTTATAGCTTTATGATTTTTTGCGACCATTGGAGTGATTGCATTACATTAAAGACACAGCAATAGCGTCAAATGCAGCAGAGTGATTTTATGGCACCAGGTTAAACTTTCTGTTACCTTTACAGCACTCACATACATTTAAAAAAATTAACAAAGAACAGACTTGGACCTATTAGTGTGTGTATGTGTGTGTGTGTGTGTGTGTGCCGTGGCATGCAAGGTTTGTATATTTAAAACCACTTTAGAGGATATTAAGGGTGAAATCCCTGAAAACCAAAAAAAAGTGTATTTGATTTTGTGCTTTGCATTAATACCTGAGGAATCTTCATCGCAGACATAATTGCTTCATTGTAAAAGGTGCGTCCTCCATGGTTTTTATCAGGAAAGATCTCTGACTGTCAGAAAAAGCAATTACATAGCAAGACACTGCAGTTGAATATGGAAAAACATAGCTAACATTATGTATATAAGGTGTGATATGTAAAAAAAAAAGATATAAATAAAATTTGTGGAGATTTATGGCTTGCAAGGCGAAAAAAAAACTTTTACCTAAATTTCGAAATATGTATTGTAATTAAAATGTACATATACAAATTCATTAAGTGTGACAAAAAAAAACACTAAAACTGTGTGCTGTTGAGGATGTTTTCATCCACTCTTAATTTGGCCACAACTTTCTCTGTGCTTCAGCAAATCAAATGATTTTTGTTGACTAATCTTATTTTGACACATATTTTGGGAAAATGCTTTTTTCAAAAGCTCAACAAAACACAAAATTTCATGACTTTGTAATCAAAATAATGTCATTACAAGAGGAGATCAATGGGACAAATACAGCCACGAACATAACAAAAGGGTAGTACATTTGACTTACTGTAGCTCTTCTCAACAGGGAAAACGATCAACAATCAACAATGCATGATTATATGGTGTCAAGGCTTTGCAATCAAAAATGTGATCAGAATGACAGTCAATGGGGCAAAAACAGCCACCAACATAACAAAAGGGTAGTCAATTTGAACTATTCACAAGGGTTAAAAGTGTATTTGAGATGTTTTCTTCACATTAGACTGAAACAAAGACTTCAAAATCTGAACTAAAATTTGACAGGTGCATGAAGAACAGTGTTTCTGCCTGCAGTGTTTCATCTTAATAGATCATAAATGTAGGTTACCTGAAGAGGTAAAAATGCTCCACCACTGTCCACCAAGTAAACGAAAGGCAAGCGATTCTGCATAGCCACAATTTGTGCCCGGAGCTGTTTTTTGACAGTGATGGGATACGCTGTACCACCTTTCACCGTGGCGTCATTCGCGCTGAACATGCACCAAAGTCCATTAATTTTACCAATTCCTGTGGGAAAAATATACAACAGATAAAGCAGTAACACATAATATCTACCAATATTATTATTTAATTTTAGATATAATTTATAGTTCAAAACCAAGACCCTCACTTCTATCCCCTACCTCACCACACGACAAACCCAAAACATTATAAATTCTGAGTGTGCTTCACACAGGTGAGTGGGCTTGACAAACCACCTGTAGAAACGCTCTTCTCTCTCTCTCAAAAAGAAAACCACACTCCACACATCTCTAAACCTACCCAAATACCTAAACCCAACTACTACCTTGCTAACTATTAATCGGCAGGTAATTAGTAGTTTATTGAGCTAAAAGACTTACTTATTTGTTTGTTAATAGCGTGAATCGTACCTTAAAATAAAGTGTGACCGTAATTATCTTCAAACCAGGATTAATAACTTTGAGCCTCTTATTTTATTCTCGTTTGTACCTGTAAGACATCCAGCTGATGGTATGTCTCCATAAGGCAGGCCGAGTCCAGCAAAAGGCGAGAGCTCTAGATAATCTTCATCATCCAGCAACATGCGTAGTCGTTCTCGTACCAGAACCTTTTGATTCCTCTGTGTGTGCCGCGCTATAGCGTTTTCACCACCACCCTTCATCACCTTCTCCTTGTGCTCGAAGTATCTGATGAAAGACCGGTTTTCTGATTTAAAAACATATATAGTGTAAATCTAAATGTATGAGAGTCAGGCTTACTTCTGCTGACAGACGAGGCTGTTCCTTAGATTGGCTTCATACACGTGTCTGACAGCAGGAAGAAATGCTCCATCTAGAACTGGAAATGCACTTGGCAGGCGTCTCCTAGAGCTCATACAGCGCTTTGATGATGATGATGGCAGCTGTGTGATGGGTCGCCACCAGCCACCTGTATGTGTGCAGGGGTGTGCAGAGCTGCTGGCAAACTTTGCTGATGGATGCCATGACTGTGGATTTTGAGAGAATGACGCTCTGGCGAGATGATGATTGAGTTTATTCCCATTTATGTTGAAAGATCTGGTGAAACAAAAACAATTCATGATAATTATTCCTTCATTTTTTAGCTTAGTCCCTTTATTCATCAGGGGTCGTCACAGCGGAATGAACCGCCAACTTATCCACCATATGTTTTATACAGTGGATGCCCTTCCAGCTGCAACCCAGCACTTGGAAACATCCATACACTCTCTCATTCACACACTTACACTACTGACAATTTAGTTTACTCAATTCACCTAGAACATGCAAACTCCACACAGAAATGACAACTGACGCAGCCGAGGCTCGAACCAGCAACCTTCTTACTGTGAGGCGACAGCGCTACCCACCGCACCAACCCACTAATTAATTTTAAAAACTTAAATAGATATTTAAAAAATTAATAAATGTTTATTGGGACCCCCAAATAGGTTTTAAGATAGTTTTACTTAAAAAAATGTATGCTTTGGCAAAATAAATAAATAAATAAATAAACAAACAAAACATGTTCATGATTCTACAAGGATTTTGACTAAATGGTTCTGAAAGAAAAAAAGGTACATTTGTTTTATCCACTGTCTAAAATGACTGCAGGTGGCATGGTGGTTCAGTGGTTAGCACTGTCGCCTCACAGCAAGAAGGTCGCTGGTTCGAGTCCCAGCTGGCATTTCTGTGTGGAGTTTGCAAGTTCTCTCCATGTTAGCGTGGGTTTCCTCGGGGTGCTCTGGTTTCCCCCACAGTCCAAAGACATGCGGTATAGGTGAATTGGATGAACTAAACTGGTTGTAGTGTATGAGTTAGTGTGTGAATGAGTGTGTAAGGGTGTTTCCCAGTATTGGGTTGCGGGTGGAAAGGCATCCGCTGCGTTAAACATATGCTAGAATAGTTGGTGGTTCATTCCACTGTGGTGACCTCTGAAATAGAGACTAAGCCAATTCCTTTGGGAAAACATATACAACAGATTAAGTAGTAACTCCACACAAAAATGACAACTGGCCCAGCCGAGGCTCAAACCAGCAACCTTCTTACTGTGAGGCGACAGCGCTACCTACTGCACCACCGCACCAACCCACTAATTAATTTTAAAAACTTAAATAGATATTTAAAATAATTAATAAATGTTAATTGGGACCCCAAATAGGTTTTAAGATAGTTTTATTAAAAACAAAATGTATGCTTTGGCTAAATAAATAAACAAAACATGTTCATGATTCTACAAGGATTATGACTAAATGGTTCTGAAAGAAAAAAAAGGTACATTTGTTTTATCCGCTGTCTAAAATGACTGCAGGTGGCATGGTGGTTCAGTGGTTAGCACTGTCGCCTCACAGCAAGAAAGTTCGAGTCCCGGCTGGCATTTCTGTGTGGAGTTTGCATGTTCCCCCAGTGTTCACGTGGGTTTCCTCGGGGTGCTCTGGTTTCCCCCACAGTCCAAAGACATGCGGTATAGGTGAATTGGATGAACTAAACTGGTTGTAGTGTATGAGTTAGTGTGTGAATGAGTGTGTATGGGTGTTTTCCAGTATTGGGTTGCGAGTGGAAAGGCATCAACTGCGTTAAACATACGCTAGAATAGTTAGCGGTTCATTCCACTGTGGTGACCTCTGAAATAGAGACTAAGCTGAAGGAAAATGAATGAATGAGTGAAAATGACTGCATTGAATTAAAATGGGAAACTAATTTATTTCAGGGAAATATTTTGTTGTGCACTAAAGCTAAATCTTACTGAAAGCTAGCTTTTCGAGATGTGAAACTCAACGAAATCAAAAAATATCTAATCATTTTTTATTGGGTTTTTCTCAACATTAAATCAAGACATCTAAACATCTGAACATCACATTAAATCAAAACGACTCCAGGACAGGGCATCGCTGTGGCGCAGTGAGGAATGAATGACTCCAGGAAAACATACAAAACTTAAAAATAATAACAACAGTAAAAAAAAAAAATCTATAAATAAATAAAAATAAATAAACAAAATAAAAAGGTTAATAAATATTTTACATACAATATCAACAGTAATTCACAATTTAACTTTGATGTTTTATTTAATTTCTATGCTGTCAGGTTTACTTGGTTGCAGTAGTGTAGAAAGGGATTCCAAATGCTATAAAAATCTTTTAACTTCCCCTTAATAATGTATGTCAGTTACAGGACATTACAGGACATTTCCTTGATCAGAAGAGAGCCTTTGTAAAATAGTTTTTGAGTCATATTTCAAATCAGAGTATTGGCCTATTTTGAAGCATTTTTCACAACAATAAAATAATTAAAATAAATGATAAAAATGTCCATCGGCTTTTTCTACTTTTGCAAAGGGTCCTATTTAAAACAAGATTAAATTTCAGTCAGTAATTCATCCAAAATTTACAACAGCTTAAGTTGGAAATATAATTTTCAAGTCTATGCCATAAAAGTGGTTAAAACTCCCAAAATGTAAAATAAATACTACATGTTATCTAGCAAAATAATTTAGTCAATATTTTAGTAAATAAAAAAATGTATAAATAATTATTGACATAGGGTGACACAGTCGCCTCACAGCAAGAAGGCAGCTGGTTTGAGTCCCAGCTCTGTCAGTTGGCATTTCTATGTTCAGTTTGCATATTCTCCTTGTGTTAGTGTGCATTTCCTCCAGGTGCTCTGGTTTCCCACACAGTCCAAAGACATGAGCTATAGATGAATTGAATAAACTAAATTGTCTGTAGTGTATGAGTGTTTCCTAGTACTGGGTTGCAGCTAGAAGGGCATCTGCTATGTGAAACATATGCTGGATAAGTTGATGGTTCATTCAGCTGTGGCGACCCTGATAAATAAAGGGACTAAACCAAAGAAAAATGAATGAATGAAAAAAAAAAAAAAGATTAAGGAGCATCAAAGTATAATAATAATAATATAAATAAATAAATACTTGTAAAAATGTTGCACACCTGCATCCAGCTATGGTAAAATAGTGCAGGACATATAAAATGTCTGATGACAAAGTAGATTTCAGACGACAGACCACATAAAATACTTATTCATGATTACATTACTTAAATTATAAAGATTATTTTAAAATAACTAATTGGAGCACTTCGGTAAAATATTTTAGTAATGCATTAAAACAAATAAACGCAGAACTCGTTCATTTCAGAGCAGTGTACCGTTCACTTTGCATTGATCTTTCTGTTGATAATTGTTTTGTTTACTTTGGTTTGCTGCTTGCTGCTGTAGCTCTCTTTTCTTTAAGTGTGTCAAAGGTCATTATGAGATCGCTTGCAAATGCAAACACCCTAACAAAACCGCGTTACCACATTAGCTTACTATAACATAAAGCAGAAGACCTTACCGTAATAAACAACAGTGCATGATGAGACAACAGGCACAGCTCTAAAGTTATTGAATATGATACAGTGTAACCAGAAAATAGGTCTGGAAGGAAACAAGCATAAAGGAACGTTTGGGTTTGCGATTTAATGCAAATGTATCAAAGTGGATTAATGGCCACTAGAGAGCACTATTTATTAGTAAATGAAACAGACACGACTTCACTGTTCTGAGTTTATTGTGAACCGTTATTCTATTCTATTCTATTCTATTCTATTCTATTCTATTCTATTCTATTCATATACAGTGGAAGCTGTTTGTTTTGTACAAAGAATGATTATTAATAGATAACTAAAAGTAACTTTTATTAGTAATTGAAACTATAACAGTAATAACTTTGGTACAAAAGAGTGTTTAAATGAGTTTATTTGATTAGGTTACTGATCCAGTATATAATTAAGAAAGAAATCCTAATCATTTCTCATCTATTTCATGCCATAATTTCAAGCTTTTACAGAAGACGAACTGTGCAAATGAACACGCAAATCAAATATGAAGTAATTAATGTTCAATATGAGAATGTTGTTGCAGATTTACAAAGCGATGTCTCTAAACATTAAAATAAATAAACATATAGGCCCTTATGGAAAACTTTTTTGTCTTTTTGTCTTTTCAAACGAAAAACTAAGAAATATCAATATACGTTATCTGATCTGAGGATAGATGATGAACTACATAGAGAGCAAATTCCTTTTGCGCACGCGCACACACACACATGAAAATAATTTTCCTTTAAAAAAAACGAGGTTAAATGTTTTTTAGTCTATGTTATGTTCATCATTTATCTTGCCGTTTGGGTCTCCTATAAAATTAAATTAACATTTTTTTATACATTTTTTTGTAAATATTTAGTGAATTTTTAGTAACAAATATAAATTGTTCAAACACAAATGATGTGTACCAAAAATATATTTTTGTTATACAATAAATATAAAAAAAAAAAATATATATATATATATATATATATATATATATATATATATATATATATATATATATATATATATATATATATATTCAAAACATTTTGACTGTCCAGTTTGACCATGTTATATACTAATATTTATTTTGTGCAGCTTGTTAAAATGCCAGCATACTGCCATTATATATTTTGCACAAATGTAACGGTCAACTTACTACTTTATGGTAACCGTCCTTATTTTTATTTATTTATTCATTTATTACTAATGCATGATAGGCATGGGATGATAACCGCTTTCAAGGTATATTGCAGTTTGAAAAAGTCAAGCTTTTAAACTGTGTGTCCGATGTCCGATTTTTTGATTTGTTTGTATTTAGGGCAACAGTTTCTCCAGCAAAAAAAGAAATCTGAAGATGCCGTTTTACATTGTGAAGAAATCTGTGTTTTTGAAAATAACAAATAAAGCATAAGTCAATAATTCATTTAAATTTTTTTTAGCTTGATATGTTTACTGCTCCAAAGTACTTTAAAGGTTTCTCTAACTAAAATAAATGGTGTTCAAATGAACTTGAAAAAAATGAAAAAAAACTTTAGTTTTTTACTCAGATGTTTAAAAAGAATATATTTTAGAGCAGAAATCACAATACTGTGAAACAGTGATATTTTTATTATCGACAATATTTTATTATCATACCATCAGAATCTTATACCAGCCCATGCCTAATGCGTGAACAACATACAGAACATGCAAAATAATGCCAGATGTGTACAGAAAAAGATATGAAGTGCATAGAAGAGTTATGTATAAGAGTATAGACTCAAAAAGTAAAACAAAGTTTAAAATACAATGATATAACCTTTATTATGCTTTAAACGACCAACGCGTGACAATAGAACATACTATATAATGCATGGGTGAAATAAGGTAAATAACAATAACAGTAGGAAAAAAACAAAGAAACAAAACAAACACAAAGAACAAGAGTATAAATAGTTAAATAAAATTCCTACAATTACAAATAATCAGGACCTTTACATTAATAAAGAAATTGGAAAACAGAGCTCAAATGAACAGTTTTAATGGCCTATTTCTATTAGCATGTTATATAGTACAAAAGTAAATTTCAGTTCCTTATAAAACAAAGTAAAACATTTTTTGTGAAAAATTTACACTTATGAATATGAAACTTAATTAACAAAATGGATATATCATTAACAAAAACTTTTATTCAGATTATCATAATTAAGATGTCCAAAAATTACGTTTTCTAAATGTAAATTGGAATTAAAGAGTACCTTTTTTTGATATAGACAGAAGTATCATACCAAAGCTTTTTATCATTACCACAGAGCCAAAAGATGCGAAGAACAAAAAAACACAGGCATAGTTCAGCACGTGACGTCAGACGCATGGTTTTTGTCGCCGCGCGCTCCACCTCCCCGCGAGCACTCAGGCAAAAGTGTAAAAATGGCGTCCATCATGGAGGGGCCGCTGAGCAAATGGACTAACGTCATGAAGGGGTGGCAGTACCGCTGGTTCGTACTGGACTATAACGCCGGGTTGCTGTCATATTATACTGTAAGTATCTCTTGTACTGCTGCAGGAAAAGAGCGAGGGTTGACTGCTTAATGGTTTGTTCTGAGATCGTTTATTGCTAGAAAGGAAACGAGCACTAACAGGCCTGTCAGGAGTTGGGAATCTCAGCTGGTTTAGGCGGGGCTTGGCTTGAGTGAATGCTGCCTCAGCCAATCCAAGCCTTAAAGAGGAAGCCGTAAGCCAATGAGCTGTTAGACTCGCTGTGTTGCCAACAGGAAGGCCACCTCCCTTGGACAAAAAAATGCTTACTGTAGTGTAGTTTAGTTTGGAAATTTTAAAGGGTGGAGGCGTCCACATGTGACCGCTGTTTTAGATCCGTTTGTCGCATGGCGTTAAATGTGTTAACGCGCATTTCTTGCTTTGAAGGCTGTCTTTGAAAAGCTCTGTAAATGTTTTACACAAAATAGTAAAGCTAAGCTACGAGCTGCAGTTGATGACAGTAAATCATCCTCAGCTAGACCTCTCAGGTTTGTTACTGTGTTCATAAATAGGACATTTATATATATTTTAGTAAAAACGAACATTGTAGCCGTCCCGTTCTTCTCCAATGTTAACACTGTAACGTACAGACAGTAAATATTAAACGGTCAAACACATACATCTATCTGAAAGCTTTGATGCAACACTTTAGATGTGTAAATTCAGAATAAGTTGTGACTTCTCTTTATACTATGTGTACAGTTTTGATAATAATAATTGTATATAAAAAATCATAATGGTGAAAATAGTAGCATATAATGTCAAAATATGAGTGAAATGTCAAAATGCTAAATGGCAGGTTTCTGTAAAAATGAAAGAATACACTGTACGTGTTAAAACCTAACATAATAAGTGGTCATACTAAATTATATTTTATTCAAAACTTTTTTTTTCTGACAAAGGTGTAAAACTTAGTGATTTAAAGTCGGTTAATTAATATTTTGGGCGGGGCTTAATAATATGTAATAGTATGTTTTTGTTATATTAACTTCTGTTACACTTAATGACATGTGAAGATTTTTATTTTCTAAAGCTATGTAAAGACACATATAATTGTGTGAGTGAATGGCCAGATGAATCTGCCATTAAATGTCTTTGAAAGCAAGTGATAAGTTAAGGCAAAGGGGTAATAAAAAAGCATGAGAGAGGACTTGGGGATATAGCGCAGCCAGAAAAGCATGACATGTCTACAACATCATGTATGTTTAAAAAGACATACTGTATGGGAGAGAAGTGTCCAATTAGGATGTTTGAAACATAGATACTAGTCATGAGTGCAAAATTTGAACTGGATGTGTAAAAACAGTTGTGAATTCATTAGATTGATACATTATAAGGAACAAAAAGAAGAGGAGGCTTTAAATTGGGCTTGTGAAGGAGTAGTAGCTGAGAGAGGCCTGTTGAACCAGGAACCAGCAATGAAAACACAAAAGTGGAAGGAAGCAAGGATAAAGAGTATAGCAAATTTGAGGGACATCAGATTGTCCTGGGGAGGGACTGAGATGGGTTAGCTCCAGGCTGTCTCTGCTTTATTGGCAAATATTCCAATAGAGTATATTATTTTGATATCCATAACCTCCACACACTGAGTTTGATTCATTAATGGAAAAGCCAGAAACCATGACACACTTTACTGAGTGTGCACACTTTTAAAAATCAGGCCACAATGTGTATTATTTTTATTTTCTAAGGAAAATTTTAATAAACAGGACATATTCTGACGTATGAGAAGAAAACTTTTAACTCTATATTGATTTGACTCTGAAAACTACCTTTTTGCTGTTGACCGATATATGATATGCATTCTGGTACCCCGTTAAAGCACTGCTTTTGCAAGTCTTGTGCTACCCTTGTGTGTAATTGTCTAAAATATTATAAAAAGGTAATTCAATGATCATTTTAAGGATATCATATATATAAATACTAAAAGGCTACGAGTATTATTAAAATATGCTATTTTCAACTGTATAATCTAAATTATTGGTTGGTTGCGTGCATAATATTTCATAGGAGTTTACAATCTTACATATATTTATCATCGTAGGACTTCAGCACTGTGTTAATCTAAAGTCAAAACTCTCTTTTAACACTCTGTCTCCTCCTTCAGTCCAAGGACAAGATGATGCGTGGCTCTAGAAGAGGCTGTGTGCGACTACGGGTAAGAAGCTTTCCTTTATATCAAAGTAAGAATCAGCTGAATCTAGTCTCATTCTTATCCATCATTTCAAAGAATAATTCATGTCAGTGCTTGTCCACGTTCTGATTATTAATTTGGTTTGGCTGTACTGTTCAGTTCTCCCTGTCTGTCCTTGAGGATCTGCTCTGTCTGAGTATTTATAAAAAGAATGTGACATGATTTTATGCCTCATGCATTGTTTAAATAGATTTAGACTGCATCAGTTAATGAAGCCAAGTTCCTCTCTAAGTTGTCATATGGGTTGAAGAGGAGTTCATTTAATCAAAATCAGCTTTATAAAACATTTATATGTGGACCTCACCTAGCAAGCAGCTGCAATGGGATGCTATAACTTTTTTTAGAAGGTCTTTATATGGTCAAGCATTG